TTAGGACTTGAATTAAATAGAATTAATTTTTACTCTTTTGAGCCTACTTTTAAGCTTTGTTAGGTGGGACTAAAGTAGGCTTTGGTTGGCTACTTAAATATATACCTAGCTCTAATACTTTGGGAAAATTTAGAGAAAGCCATAAAGAGAAATATATTTGACCATATTCCTTAACCGTAAGCTAGTTTTTGAAATGCCTGTTTCAGTTTTAGAGGCATGGTATTAGGACTTGAATTAAATAGAATTAATTTTTACTCTTTTGAGGCTACTTTTAAGCTTTGTTAGGTGGGACTAAAGTAGGCTTTGGTTGGCTACTTTAGTATTCTTCTGAGTCCTCTACCGATACCTTGTTAATTATGAGATTTTCATTCTAGCTAGTGTGAACGTGAACTATTCCTAGATCCGTGAGAGCTTTGGGGATTGCTTGTGCTTCTTTTGGGTATTTCTTCTCCCAACCTCAGGTAGTGTCCTCACACATACGCACTGATCAGTACTCAGCTCAAGACTAGAACAGAACCCTTTGTGGATCCTCTGAAGTTTCCTTGGCCTCCCCAAACTCCCAACTTTGTCTTGTCAAATAAGAAGGCTGCCAGCTCCACTGAAGTTTCCACTCCCCTTTACTCTTTCCATGAATAGTAATTTGGGGCATTCGTGGGGCTCAGTTTGTTTCCCATCTTTCAGAGATTGTTTGACTAGAACTGCCTACTCTATCTGATATCCAAAGTCAAAAACATCTTGTTGTGTATAGTTTGTCTAGTTTTTCAGTTTCATGTAGAAGAATAAACCCAATCTCTATTACTACATACATCTTTTCAAGAAGCAAGAGGATTTATTTTTATGTTATTACTCAGAAACTTGGTATTTAAAATGTTTTTTGTAAAGCATTGGTCTTACAGTTTACAGGCATACCTTATTTTATTGTGTTTCACTTTATGCACTTCGCAGACACTGCATTATTTTACAAATTGAAGGTTTCTGGCAACCCTTCCTCAAGTCTATCACCACGATTTTTCCAACTTCACGTCTCTTGTGTCACATTTTGGTAATTCTTGCAATATTTCAAACTTTTTCATTATTATTATATCTGTTATGGTGATCTGTGATCATCGATCTTTGACATTACTATTGCAATTATTTGGGAGTGACACAACCTGTGCCCATATGAGACAGCACACTTAATAAATGTTGTGTGTTTTGACTTTTCCACTGAATGGCCATGCACCCGTCTCTCTCACTGTCCTTGGCCTATGCCTGAGACACAATAGTATTAAAATTAGGCCAGTTAATAGCCCTACACTGGCTTCTAACTGTTCAAGTGAAAGGAAGAATTGCGTGTCCAAGCTGAGACAGGCCAAAAGCTAGGAGGCCTCTTGTGCCAAATAGTCAGCCAAGTTGAATGCAAAGGAAAGTTCTAGAAGGAAATTAAAAGTGCTACTCCAGTGAACACAGGGAATGATAAGAAAGTGAAACAGCCTCATGATCGATATGGAGAAAGTTTTTGTGGTCTGGATAGAAGATCAAACCAGCCACAACATTCCCTTAAGCCAAAGCCTAATCCAGAGGGAGCTTCTAACTCCCTTCAATTCTATGAATGCTGAACAAGGTGAGGAAGCTACAAAAGAAAAATGTGAAGCTAGCAGAGGCAGGTTCATGAGGTTTATGGAAAGAAGCCATCTCCATAATGTAAAAATACAAGGTGAAACAGCAAGTGCTGATGTAGAAGCTACGGTAAGTTATCCAAAAGATCTCTCTAAAATAATTGATTAAAGTGGCTACACTAAACAACAGATTTTCAACATAGATAAAACAGCCTTATATTGGGAGAAGATGCCATCTAGAACTTTCATGGGTAGAGAGGAAGTCAATGCCTGGCTTCAAAGGACAAGGCTGACTCTCTTGGTAGGGGCTAATGATGACTTTAAGTAGAATGGATTGCTCATTCACCATTATAAAAATCCTAAAGCCCTTAAGAATCATGCTAAATCTACTCTGTGTTCTATAAATGGAAAAACAAAGCCTGGATGACAGCATATCTGTTTACAGCATGGTTTACTGAATATTTTGAGCCCACTATCGAGACCTGCAGCTCAGAAAAAAAAGATTTCTTTTAAAACATTACTGCTCATTGACAATGCACCTGGTCATCCAAGAGTTCTGATGACAAGATTAATGTTTTCATGCCTGCTAACATAACATCTCATGGATGAAGGAGTCATTTCAACTTTAAGTTCTTATTTAAGAAATACATTTTGTAAGGCCCCATAACTGCCAGATAGTGATTCCTCTGGTGGATCTGGGCAAAGTAATTGAAAACCTTCTGGAAAGGATTCACCATTCTGGATGTCATTAATAAACATTCATGATTTA